TTTTTTGGGCGAGTTCATAAATCGCGGATTTGAGAAGCTAGAGCACTGAAACCTTGCGGGTGCGTTACCCGTCCAAGTGGGTGTTAATGCACTCAAAACTATCCCTTGCGTGAGCGTGGTACCTGCTTACGGGCCCGTCAAATTTTTTTTGGGCGAGTTCATAACTCGGGAATCTGAGAATCTAGAAAGCTCAAATCTTGGGGTAATGTTTCACGCGCAGCGGGGTGTTGGTGGGGTCAAACCCAGCCCCCTGAGTTAGCGCGGTACCCGCGTAGGGGCCCGCCAATTTTTTTTCGAGAATGTTCATAACTCGGGGATCTAAGAAGTTAGAAGGCTGAAATCTTACGGTGATGTTCCCCGTCCAACTGGATGCTAATGCACTCAAAGCCAGCCCCCGGGCAAGCGTGATTCCCGCGTTCAGGCTCGCCAAATTTTTTCGCGTGCGAGTTCATTACTCGGGTATCTGGGAAACTAGAACGCTGAAATCTTATGGAGATGTTCCCCGTCCAACTGGATGTTAATGCACTCAAAACCATCCCCCGAGTAAGCGTGGCATTCGCGTACAGGCCCGCCAAATTTTTTTTTCCGTGCGTTGGCCAATTATTTTTTTTATAGTATGTTTTGGTACCGACTGATGAGCTAATCGAATTGCCATCGGATGAGCTGCTCGAAGATGAAGTTCTGCCGGTTGATGAAGATTTGTTGGACGACTTGCAGCTGAGAGCCAGGATAGCGGTGCTGGCAAGAGCACTCAGTGAACGTGCCATTCGCGGCTTCTAATTCAGCGGCAGTCGGAAGGAAGTGGATATTACAAGTTCCTGGTGTTATCTCCATTCCATCCTGGAAGAATTGGCTTTCGAATTCTTTAGATTCCATCTGGAATTTCCGTACCATCGGTGATCGTTTGTAAGTGTAAGAGGTTGCTGTGGGATGTTTCTGTGAAAATCTTTCTTTTTCCAGACAGTTTCATCTTTCAAACAAAAATCCAGCGTTCGATAGAGCAGACGGATGCTGCATCATCCTAGCGTCATTCTTTTTGGTTCGGTGAATTTTGTGTCTAAATTAAGGGTGTTGGCGTGCCTGAAGATAATTCATTGGTTCACAGTGGCCCTCCTAATAATGATAGGAAGCTATAAATAGGTGAAAGTGTGGTCTATCGATTCTTCCTGCGGTCTTGGTATTTTTGATATACTGTAAAGTTCCATGTCCTAGGAAAGGAAACTAAAACGTTTTTTTATCTGTTGCGGATTCGC